TAAGCTCCTTTAGTTCGTCCATCTTGCAATCCACCCTCTGTGGCGTTCTCCTCTGTTTTCTCTGTCCTTGCCATCGCATACCCTCGTGTTGTCACTGGGTTCCTGTGCTTGGCGTCTGTCTGTCCGTCTGTCTGAGTGCCAGTAGCGCGGCTCGGAGATCTCCCCTAAGTGCAGCCCTAGCAGGCAGTCAGCGAGGTGCTGCTAGAAGAATCTGTTGTAAGACCAGGTTCCATTGTTAGCTGTCGGTTGCAGTGATGCCGCAGTTGCGGCATCACGTGTCATAGCGACGTGCTCACGTGAGAATCAATGCATTGGTACAAACTTGGCAATTCGCACCTTCAGTTACTTTCAGGCCCGAGTCTCCGCTCGCCGTGGTCCAGATCCAGGAGATATGTCGCGTCGTATCTCCTGACCTTGAAGTGCCGTTGCGCTCTGTGATGTAAGTGAGCACTTCGTCCTCCGTCGCCGCCTCCATCTCCTTGATTAAGCCGTCGCTCAAGCCGCGAAGGTCGGCATCCAACAGCTCCCGCATCTGGTCCCCCCACTTGCCTTGACCCTTCAGAGCTAGGTACGCCACACGATGACGTCAATAAGCTGCCGCAGCTTTCTTCACGTTCGCGCTCACGTTTGCCTGGGCGGTGAGCGAACGTGTGCTGGCACGCTGGCCGCGCATCTGGCAGCGGCTGTGGCAGTACAGGCAACCGCGTAGGCAAAGTTAGTGCCGTAGGTTCTCGAGCTCGTCGTCCATACCCATCAAATCTTGACCTCCATATTGCGCGCAGCAGTAGACGACGTGTTTTCCATAGACATCCTGTGAGGTGGCTGTGAGGGCAAGTGAAGCTTCACTTTCAGAGCCGTGGTGCGGTCCGGCTCGCGCTGTTCGCAAGTCAGCGCCGCGTAGGTAGCAGGCATCATGCGCTCTTGCATGTCGCAAAACTCCACGATCATGCGTACGAGGTTGTTCAGGGCCTGCGTTCGCGAGGTCATCTGCTTCTTAGTCCCCGAATCCTCTTCGCCACCGCCCGCCGTCGCCCTATTCGAAGATAGTTTGGCCCTGGTAGCCAGTCAGCCCACACTGCAAGCTGTGAGTACCAATGTAAGCGCCTCACTGCTCCTCCTCAATGTCCAACCCGTGCAAGATGAAGTTTGTCAGATCCACTGCGTTCTGCTCTTCATCCTCCATTGCCTCGCTGGCCGCACCGCCGCTGTCTGAATCCCCGCGACCGTCGTTGACGTTCCGCGCCACCTTCTCCACCGATGAACCCTGCACTTTTGCTGTCTCTAGTCTGATCTGGGCAACAGAGAGGCCTGGATCATGTGTCAGTATTGAAAGGAGCGGTAGCTTCTGGCCACCACTTACGCTCCTTCTCAATATGATACGGGCTCGGCTTGGTGTTATCGAGCTCCCATTCGGACACCCGCGCCTCTGTTGAGCTTAACATCTCAGGGGCTTCGCTGCAAATGGCTTCTGTCAGCTCCGTATGGATGACGCACTGCTGCGTCACCTCCTGCACGGCTCTAACCATCCAATCCTTCAACAGGCTCACTGCGACGCATGTCAGCGAGTGTTCGAGACGCACGCAGCACGACAACCACCAATGCTGCATGTCTTCTGCCAGTTCCAGTACCCGCACATGTCGTCCATCATATCCTGCATTGAGCCCGGCCCCATCTCCCGCAGACTGGAAGCCGCGGGGTTTGCTCCTGACCAGATACACTCACAGCCCTCTCCATCCGTCGCACCTGCACCGACCAGCCACATGAACGACCACCGAACCTGACATGCGACCTTATGCGCATATAGATGGAACTTTGGCACGGCGTACTTGACCTTTGACAAGAGGGTGCTTGCCGGGCCGCTCTCCTTAATCCACGAGACGAACTTCGCAGCGCCCGCGCTCAAGGCTCTTCCGCCCGGTACTCGCGAGAGGCGCTTCTCTAAGTTGATGCTCCACTGGCAGGCGATGTCATACGAGACGACCACAGAAGCGCAGCGCAGGAAGCCCAGTGCACAGCCAAAGATGTAGTCCATAGTCACGTACCTGAGACATCCATCAGCCACCTGTAGATGAAACTTAAGAGAGAACGCGCCACTCCCCTTGCCGCAGCGTGGCAATTCCCTGTGGGAATATATGTTTGTGACGAGCACATGAATGCCCGCGATGCCCGTTGTTCACAGCCCGATTGCGCCGCCTTTGCGGTTTGCCATAGCCATAGCTCCGAAGCGAGAACAAGTACTTGGCTGTATGATGCGGGGTGCGGTCAGCGTTTGTTCTCTGCCCAGGGACTGAATGCAGAGAAGGAGGATCGGGCGTGAGGAAAAGAAGCTCGCCTTCTCGGCATCTAGTCCCTCGGTAGCTTTGATATGCGCAGCGTAGTCTTTCTCCTCTACCATGTACACCTTTCCCTCGGTAAGGTTTTGATCTGTCCGATGCGACGAGCGTGTGAGGCGGTTTGACAGGCGGAAGTTCGTGTCTATTGACATGAATGTCGCATACATCCATCTGCGGGGCATCAGACCGCCATGCACGCACACGAGTCGAAGCACGCTTACTGAAGAGGTAGGGTAGCCCAGTTCGTAGGAAGATTGTAGTCTGAGTTTGGACATGCTGGGCATACGACGGCATATGCTCTGGGCGGGGTTCCGGCAATACCGCCGGACTCATGGCCCCTGCCGGCTCGTTTGAACATAAATATGTGTTGGAACTGCCTGATACAGGTCATGAAGCGCTGTCAAAAGTCCTGTAGAAGAGCATCAGCTTAAGACGGTATAGAGCGGCTGTGGCGGGCCACGATCGCACCACGACCCCTTTGGTTAATGCTCCATCCGTTGCTGCCTCCAGTGCGCAGACGAAGTCATAGCCGTTGAGTTTACCGAAGAGAGAAAGCCGATGAAAGAAGTCCAGAGCTTTGAACGTCGCAGCAGACTCCGGCTCCCTGCAAGTTGCAGGCCAGAGGCGCCATCGCAGCAGCTGCACGTATGGCGGAACGTCACCCGCGAGGCTGCACTTGCAGAAGTGCATGCACACTACCTTGACCCCGTTCGTATGCGCCACGGTGAAGTTTTCCACCGTATGCAAAGCCCTCATATCACAGGTCTCTCCGGGCCGATGGGAGAGCTGTATACTGAGGCCGAGGTCCTTTGGCTCTACGTTCTCGTAGAACTGCCCATTCCAGCGCTGCCAATCGTCTCAGGCAGAACTCCGCAGTCGCATAGAGGCCTCGCGCTCACCTGGATGCTGTGCAACGGGTTGTACTTGTGCCAAAGAATGGTGCACTTGTGGCAGAGCTCCGCACGGCAACAATCCAGGCAGTGGTAATCTGGCATTCCGTCCTTCTGGCAGTGCGGACAGGCCATTAGTTCCAAAGCTTCTGCGCGCCCATCCAAGCGTAGCACCTCCCGCAGGAAGAACTCTCTGAACTTATATGCCCAGGCGAGAATTGGAAACCTCTGTTCCCGTGCAATGAGTGTGATGTAGAGTAGAGGAGGCCCAACGAGAGCGCACTGTGAATGCGTTCCTCGTGCGCGGGTCCTTGCTTTTGCCGTTCTTCGCCGCGGGCACGTCGGGCATGTCCTCGGCATCACTAAAGTCATTATCTTTGCCGTCCTGCTCATCCTCGAGTGCGACAAAGTTGTCTTCACCGCCGTACTTGCTGTCATTGAAGTCATCAATGCCGTATGGGTCTGGAGCTGTTATTCACCGAAAACTCACAACTCATAGGAGTTCCAGTAGTAATTGAATCAACTATGCAGTAACACGCTGATCGCCCTACAACTGCAGCAAAATGGTGAGTTGACGACGCCTCCAAAAGTGGTATATGCAGATTACTAACCTGAATAATCAATATAATGCCTCAGCCATGCCCGAGGTATCCAAATTGGGACTGTGTGGGCCTCGTGGCCTCCTCCCCATCAATCCGCGGCCTCTGGGCCAGGCCTCCCGCCTCGTGCTCACACTTCGTGCCCCGTGCTCGCACTCCCCGCCCTCGCCATCACCGTGCCATCAATGCCCCGCACGCCTGCCCGCCGCCCATGCCATCAATCCCGCCCAATGCCCGCCCCATGCCCGCCACTGGCCCAACCCCCTACCATCAACCTCGACGGTTTGGCGACTTCTGGGGGTCGAAATGGCGCATTTTTCAGCGCGAATACAGCGCTGTGCTCAGATTTTAAATAGGTGCGCCCGTTCCTGAGTTATGGCCCGGGGAAGTGGGGGAATCCCAGGCAGCAGGCTGGCCAGCTGGCGCTTCGGGTTCCCACGGCTGGATCATTACCAAAACTTACTGACCTATGCTTTCAAGTCGTGCGAACAAAAGTAGCTACTCGCCGTAGCGATAGCTGTAAGCGTTCTCGCGCTACGGCCTACGCACTGTTCCCCTCCTCCCCATCCCCCTCCTCCCCCCACCGCTCTCGCGCTTCCCCCCCTTCCGGCCCCCGCAGCTCGGCGTAGGGGCTTTCAAGTACGGGGAACACGATGGTGTAACCCGTTTAGCCCCGCGCCGCC